TGAAAAATACAAACTTCCCCCAACCTTTACAAACTGAGTTAATAAACACATATAGAAACTACAATGCTGTCTTTCATTATCGTGCAAGCAGCATTTTCATACCTGTCATTTTAATAAATTCTCACCTTCCAGGGCCTTCTAATCCCTTTGAAGAAGTCAGGCATCCACATGGGAAGAACAACAGCTTCCCTTAGCAACTTCTTAGCTTCTTCCAGATCTGCTATGTCATCCCTTTGTAAGAACAGCAAAGTTTCATGTTTATTCAAAGATGGCTTTGATTGATGATCAATACTAATTCTTTTTTTTAACTTATAAAATTACTAGAGGCCCGGTGCATGAATTCGTGCACGGGTGGGGTCCCTCAGCCTGGCCAGCGATCAGGGCCAATGGGGGGGCAGGTAGCTGGCTCGGGGGAGGGACTGCAGAGGTTGCCCCCAGCAGCAAGCTAACCAACAGTTGATTCCACCAAGAATTGGGCTCCCTTTTCCCCCCTGTCTGGGTCTGGGTGCGGGTGAACCAGATTCAGGGCTGTCAGGGCACCAGCAGCAAGGTTTGGGTCAGTGCACATCATAGCTACCGGCCAGTCGTCCAGTCATTCTGGTTGTCCCAGTTGTTCAGTCATAATGGTCGCTTGGGCTTATATATATAGATACTAAAAGTTACTTTATTTTAAGGATGTACATTTAAGAAAAAAAAAAGATTTTTTTCACATTAGCATAACATAAATTACCAATCTATAAATATATAATTTTTTATTTTTCAAAACTTTAAAATTATTAGTGGAAGAAATATTTCTCATAATAAATGTTTTAGTTTGGAAACAGTCTTGGAACAAAAAATACACAATATGGAGTAACTGCAGGCATTCCTCTATTTTTGAGGGGAAATTATCTTGAAAAGCATTAATTAATTGAGCAAAGATATCTTTCTCAAAAGTACTTGTGGTTTAGTTTTCAGTTTATTTTTACTATACATTTATGTGATAAGACAATTTTTTTTTTCAAAATGATTAGTCCATTTAAACAGTTATATCACAGGAGAACAACCCAAAACAATTGATTATACAAAGGAGACACGCACATGTGTACACTTACATGTAGATTGACTGCCAAAGAGAGTTACTTTGCTCGAAACTAGAGCAGTCATTGACAATCTATGAAAAGCACAGAAGGAAGGCTCCTTTCTGTGTAAGGAAATTCAACACATGCCTAAAAGAAGCTACGTGAATGTCTCATTGTATGCCTATAACTGCCTAAGCAATTGGTTCATTTGATTAACTTTTCTCAGACATCTATTGAGCACTCATTGTGTTCCGAATACTCTTCTAGGCATAGGGGGAAAGAAAATGAAAAAGATGCATAAATGATATGTCTTGCTTAACCAGCGGAAGGTAATTATCTGGTGACCTTTCTTTCTATAAAAGTTAAATTTACATGCAACAAAATGCAATATATGCTAAGTATATAATTGGATTAGTCTTGACAAGTGTGTTTATTCATGTAACCAATGCCCAATCAAGACATAAGACACTTCCACCACCGCTAGCAAGTCCCTTCATGTCCCCCTTCAGTCACTCTGCCTTCCCAAATAGGCAATTTTATTCCAATTTCTGTCATCATCAGTGAGTTTGTCTGCTCTTGAAGTCACATAAATGGAATTAAACAGTAAGTGTTATTTTCTGTCTGATTTGCTTACTCTGTGCAATGGTTTAGAGATTCATTCATATTGTGGTATTAGTAGTTCCTTCCCTTTAACATGGATTAATATTCCTTTGTATAAATGTACTTTTTTAAAAAAAAATCCATAATCTTGTTGACAGGCATTTGTATTTGTTTCCAGTGTTTGGTTGTTAGAAATAAAGCTGCCATTAACATTCTTGGTTACATTTTTGTGAATATATATTTTCATTCTTTTGGATAAGCCAGGAGTGGAACTGCTCAGTCATTAGGAGGGTGTAATTTTATTAAAAGCTCCCAATAATGCAAAGAGGCTGTATCATGTTATACACCCACCAGCAGTGTGTGACAGTTCACTGCGCTACACATTCAGCAACAATTGATGTTGTCAGTCTTCTTAGTTTTAGCCATTTTAGTGGGTGTGAAGTGGAATTTCAATGTGGTTTTAATATTTCCCTGATGACTAATAATGTTGAGTGCCTTTTCATGTGCTTATTAGCCACTTGTATGTCTACTTTTGTGAAATGTCTGGCCAAGTCTTTTGCCTATGTTTTAATTGTGTGGTTTTTTTCCTTTTGTTTTTGATTTGTAGGCGTTCTTTATATGTTGTAGTTTCAATGCCCTAGATTTCCTCTGTGTTCTCCGTATTCATCCCTCCCTCCCCCAAATCCCTGACAACCATTGATGTACTGTCTCTGCAGTTTTGCCTTTTCCAGAATGCTATATAGTTGGAATCATATAATATGTAGCCTTTTCAGATTGGTTTCTTTCATTTAGTCGTATGCATTTAAGTCGTATGCATGTCTTCTCAAGGCTTGACAGCTCATTTCTTTTGAGCGCTGAATAACATTCTATTGTCCGGATATACCAGAGTTTATTTATCCATTCACCTACTGAAGGACATCTTGGTTGCTTCCATGTTTTTGCAATTAATGAATAAAGCTGCTATAAACATCCATGTGCAGGTTTTTGTGTGGACATAACCTTTCAACTCATTTAAAGTAAATATCAAAGAGTACGATTGCTTGATCATATGGTAGAAGATGTTAGTTTTGTAAGAAACTGTCAAACAGCCTTCTCAAGTGACTGTACCATTTTGCATGCCCATGAGCAATGAGTGAGAATTCCTGTTGCTTCACACCCTCACCAACATTTAGGTGGTCATTCTAATAGGTGGCATTGGTATCTCATTATTGTTTTAATTTGCAATTGCTTAATGACATTGATATTGATCATATTTTCATACTTAGTTGCCAACTGTGTATCTTCTTGGTGTCTGTTAAGGTTTTTGCTTATTATTTAATCAGATTGGTCTAATTAAAAATGTATGTAAACATTATAAAGATAGTAACACAATCAAGCTAATTAACATTTCCATCACCTCACATAGTTACTATTTTTTGTGTGGTGAGAACATGTAAGATCAACTTTCTGAAAAATATGGACTGCTTCATGAATTTGCATATCATCCCTGTACAAAGGCCATACTATTCTTTTCTGTATCATTCCAATTGTAGTATGTGCTGCCAAAGAAAATACTCAAGGTTTTATTTTTTTTTCATACATTTTCCCAGTTGTTCCAACACCATTATGTTTAAAAGACTACCCTGTCCCATTGAATTGACTTGGCACCTTGGTAAATACTCAATTGACTGTATAGTATGTGTGGATCTATTTTTTATTTCATTATTCTGCTCTATACACATATACACATTTTATTTTATGATTGTGACATATAATCCAGGCTCGATTCATTATTATAATTTACACATATTTATTATAATTGTATCCATTGTACCACATGTTCATGGGTCCCTAAAAGTATTATGGGCCTTAGGCACTGTGCCTAAGGATAACTGGGCTTCTAGGGGTAAAGCTAGCTTCTGCACATGTAGCCATGTCAGAAACTAGATGTAGAGGCTTATGAAATTTTCTCTAGGAGCATCAGGTGAGCTTGTAGGCCCTGAGCAATTATCTAGTAGCCTGTAGTCCATTTCTCTTAATGTGATATTCATTGTATTATCCCTGATCCTTCAGTAAGGTCTTGCATGCCTTGCAATAAGAAGTGGTGATCATCTCTACATAGGGATATGCTCTTATTAAGTCTGTCTGTAGCCGAAGGTACCCTATTTTTGTGAGAAACTATGTAGCGATAGCTCTGCTTGTATTGGAGGAGGCGGTGAGGGGAAGAATGATGTATTTCTTCCTTAGCTTATTATAATTAGAGATATTTGTATGAAAATAGAATCTCTGCTGCTTCAGTGTTGCTCAGCTCCTGCTGATCACTTCTCACTCACAGGCATCGTCCTTTGTGATAGAATAGTTGCTGTGGAGATGATTATCCCATCATGGAGAAAAGAGACTTATGAATTTAAATAAAGAATGAGCAGCAGAAAAAGGAAAAAGAGCAGCAGGAGCAAAAGAACTATGCCAAAAGCCAAACATTTAATCCAATTTAACCTTCTCTTGCCTTTTAAATATTTATTACCTCATAAAGTTGGGTGTACCAACTTAAAAAAAAAACACAGTTCAGGGTTAATGACAAATAATGACAGAAGGAAAAATTAAAAGAAAAGGCAAGATATATTACTGACATTCTTTACAGAAACAAGAGTGGGTGCAAGTTAAAA